TGCATCAATGTTGATCAACAGTAATCTGTACTTACTGCGAGTCCGTTTAATGATTTGTACACCTAAACAGACGACAGTGCAAACCGGAAAATTGGTCACAAAGCGTGGTCATGCATAAAAGAGTTCCACAGTTAAAATCACAACCTAGGACAGCTTTACGGGTTCATGTTTTTACAGGAGCCAGTATGGCTTTGAAAGTCGATCGAGAGATTTAAGAACAAAACGATAATTGCTGTTGATTACATCGAGTTGAGGAGGTGTCAGGTGTCATATTTGGCTTTAATGAATCAATGTGTCACATGTACGATATAATTTGTTTGTGTGTTTTCATTTACAGAATCAACTATGCGTACGCTCCATTACAGTGATTTGTTTTAGACTTGCGCACTTTCATTTCCGCATTGTAAACTACGAGATCAGAGACAGCGGGATAGTTCGGTTTGAAATGTAACACTTCAGAGGTAAACCTTGACGGACTTACAAATACAAATGCAGACCTGAAAAGACTTTGCCAAGATCTATACTAGCCAAAAACAACGTTTAATCACTAGGCCAGTTCATATTTAATAACGAATTCACAAAATGGTCCAACCGTTTTGATCGCGTTTAGAAACGAAAGTACGTTTTTCTGAAATAACTTACTATATTTTTGTAAGCGTGTTTATTGTAAAATTACATAGCTGTATTTGTTATATTGATTACGTGTATCATTTATCGATTGATTAAAAGCATTAACTATAAATAAAACCAACAACTGCTAGTGCTATGTCCCAACAGCAAATTTCATACCAAATCTACGAACCCGCATAACTCGAATACTCGGATAACTCGAAGTTTTTCCACGACCCCGTCGACTTCGAGATACCGAGGTTCGACTGTAGTTATTTTGATATTTCCAAAATGTTTCTGTCTCTATGGGGAAGTCTTAAAATAATATGGGTGACGTATCCCTCAATAACCTAACGGGAAATCTTGAAAAACACATCAAATTGAATTCTTGGCATTCCTAATGCATTTTATATAACTGAACAAAAATCTTCTTTTTTAATAGTGAACGTTTTATGTGTTTATGGGATATAAGAAGAAGCACTGCAGTGGGCGAGATGTCAGCCTTCAGATGAAACTTGATTTTGGCCTGCCGAAGGCGTCATTTGGAGAGACAGCGACCTTTCAGACGGTCATGAGATTGGTTTACCTAGACGGTGGTGGTTGCCGTTATGTCCTTCAGAAGGACATGACTGGGAATGACGCCCTTCGATAGAGACATATGTCATCTTACTTAAAATGATGATTCGTGAACTGCCCGTCATAAAGGACACGGCTGGGTATCGCACGAGACGATGTTCGAAAAGATGGCGCCATATTGAATGGGGATTAACCTGTTTATAGTATGAAAGTAAGACAATTGATGTTCTCCGAAAAATAAATAAAAGAAAACAAAACTGGAGTTTTACCTAGGACGGCGGTAGGAGAGATGGCGCCCTTCCGAAGGGACACGACGATTGTTGTACCAGTCTCCAGGTAAGGCATAGAGAACTCGATCAGCTGGTTCCGTTTGGGTGTCATCTGGAGGGCGGTGAGTACCATGTCGGCCTGCCGGTCTAGAAGGGCCCGGATGAGGCCGTTCCATTCACCTGTTATCTGAAACACATATCATAGTATAGTACCACAGTACCATTTATTGAATTATGTAGATCGAATTCGGGTATGGTCCGATCATGCACCAGTTGAATTTCTGTGAAAAGGCTTGGTGACTTCAATTTTTTACGTACTCCTTAAAACAGAAGCGTTTTTGTTGGACGCTAAATATATGCTAACAAGGTACAATCAGTTTTACCGATCATTAAACAAACGCAAAAGTTGCCACGTTTTGTTTCCGTAAAAAATATTTAGTGTCATTTGATGAATATGTTTGGTGTTTGATTTGATTGATTCTGACGATAAGGAATACAGTTCTAATGGATGTATATTTCATGACCTAGAAAACGAAACCACGGGAAAAAATGACATTTTAAATGCCGTAAAAAAGACCAAGTGGAATAAGTCTCCATGTTCATAAAGAAAACCTACTGTATGAATGTTTTGCGCCTTTGTTAAAGCGATTATTCAATTTGATTTTCACAGAAGGTTTATTTCCAGAGTGGTATTATTATCCCTAATAATGAAAGACGCATAACCTTAGTTAGATGTCTATCGATATAGAGATCAAAGAAACGACAATGAACATAGAAACTTAAATACAACGCCAATGGTCAAAGAAACTTTACGTACAAATGTAAAACGGCAATGATAATAAATCTTACTTACAACGCAAATGAGCATAACAACTTTGTTATAACGTCAATGGTCATGTAAACTAAGTTATAATGCCAATGGACATAAAAAACTTTGTTATAACGCCTATGAACATATAAACTTTGTTATAACGCCAATGAACATATACACTTTGTTATAACGCCAATGAATTTAGAAACTTAGTAATAGCGCCAATGAACTTAGAAACTTAGTTTTAACGCCAATGAACTTAGTTATAACGCCAATGAACTTAGAAACCTAGTTATAGCGCCAATAAGAGTAGACACTTAGATATAACGCCAATGTTAACCTTAATTCAGTGGCCGTACGACAGATATAGTCAGACATATTGCATACAGTAACTCGACAAGGATATTTTATTCAGATAAACATGGATGTTCACTTTTTACCAGTTCTTCCTTGTGAAATTGTACTTTTGTCTCATCTGTCTGCAGTAAAATAGCCATTAAACTTCAAGTCGTCCCAGGTATATACACATGGCATACTTATAGAAGTGGTCCAACCGTCCATGAATCGGCCATTATATTACACAGACGCTAAATAACTGCCAACAAAGACAAATAAAAACAAGAAGAAAAAAAAGGATGTAATGCATTTCGATTTTTTTTTTAGAAATGACTCACCTGATATTTATATCTTGCTATTTGGGGGAGAGGACAATTTTAAAATTCTAACCCTTATTGATGGCCGACACCGGGGAGTTTGCTAAGTAACTGCTGAGCATGTCACTATCCCAAAGATTATGTAAGATTGTTGATGTATATGTATATGCAGTCCAGGCACTCCTCCAATATAACAACCCAAATATTAGCGGAATTTCTTCTTCTTATGCAAGTATTTCTGTGGTGATTTGGCAAGTGTCTATAGATAAAACATTTATTGAAGTATTACCACTGTGAAAGGATAACGTGGACTTTATTATACAGTTAAAGTATGGGGTTGAGGGATATATCAAGTTTCTGGTGTCCCGAGCCCAGTTATATTTCCCGAGGCGAAGCCGAGGGAAATAGGCATGGTCAAGGGACACCAGAAACTTGCTATATCCCTCAACCCCATACTTTAACCGTTTTCTTTTTATACCGATACACACTGCAGAGATAGTTTTAACTAGAAAATATTTGTAAACCATAAGCTGTATAGCTTCACGTCCAAACTACCCCTTTGATGGCAATGGAGCCAAATGCTTCCGAGTTCGGTTGCAAGCTCCGTCCACCTCGTGCGTCGCCTCCGAGTTCGGTAACAAGCTCCGCCCACCTCTCGCCTGATTGGCTCGGCGGAAACACCCGAGTGTAGGTGTGTTTTAGTTCCCATACTAACACACAGGACTAAAACACAGTCAGGCGAAAGTGGGAATATATTCGATTTAACCAATTACTTTTATATAGAGTAAATAAAGTAGAGGTATAATAATGCACATTATCTCTGTCAACCTTTAGAACGCAAATTTACTTCGTATGGTGTACAAATCGTTTGCACCTATGAGCGCACACAAGTCGACCTTGCTGCCGACAAAAACTAAAGCCACATCGCCGGTGTTTAGAAACAGTAAGTGTGTTGTATGTTCTCAAGTTTCAACATGTGTTACAACGACTGTGTTAGTGATCAATGTATACGATGTATTACGTCATCCCGCCTAGTCTCCGGGGTGTATCCTTTGACGTTACGGCTATCAGTTTACGTTGAGAGCAGTAGTCCTCATATCAACGGGAGGCCATGTAGCAATAAGTCTAGGACTGGTACTGGGATGGCCGAAGTCCATCGCTATATACTGAACCTCACACCAAATCGATTGTGTCATCCTAGGATAAATCTAATTCACTATTTTCACTGGAAGCTCTTCAAAAGGACGCTATAGTGCCGGATTCGGTTGGGGAGCTGCTACGCTGATTGATAAGATACAGTACCGTCCGTTACTGGAGATCGTCGATAATCTTTAACAGTTCGACGAAACAGTTAGAAGCGTTGATTAACAATGGGATACTATCAAAGTGTCCAGTTCCGCTATAGAGTGCGTATCGATCTCCTCGACACTGGCGTAGTACCGTACCGGATGGCTTTACAGATAATTCAATGAACTAATTTGTAAACAATTTGTAATGCTAACAACATCAAACGCTTAACAATTGGCCGCTCGTCTGTATTTCGTACTCTCATCAGAACAATAGGCGCCGTGAACAACCCCAGTCAGTCGGCCGTAATTAAACACATACTATAATATGAATTCTTATAATTAAAGGCGGGAGTGAATTGTTACAATATCAGCAAGCGATTCTCGGTGAACTATGCCTTCAGCAAATAATGGAACAAAGCGTGTTTTATTTTCCATGGAAATTACACTAGTAATCTACAAACACGTGTAAATCGTACGGAAGCGTTAGAAGATTATATAGTGAGTGCGCTCTGACGTCCGAGTCGCTATTGAGAACACTTGTCATTTATAAAACGATTAGCGAACTTGAAGGGATGTTATTATTAGAGTAAAGCCGTTTTGACTGAAAACCAGTTCATCCTAATCAATTTATCGTTTGATGGATGATCATAAAAGATGATATTAGACGGCTGTTGCAGGCCCACTCACTGGAGTAGCAGAGGCAGACTGGGGGCTGTGTCCGCTTCCTGGCTATCTGAATGGACGATACACTCACGAGAAAGAAAGAAACGCAGATCGTGCAATACGACGTCAAGCCACTTATCATTTAAGGTATATCGAATGGAAATCTATTAAATGATTTGATATAAACAATGATCGCCTAACATCAAAATATTCTCACCTACATTTAATGAATTACAAATAATTAATTGTTGTATTCCAGTGTATTTGAAGCGAAGATTGGCGTTGGAGCACACGTTCAGACCGATATGTAAAATTAAATTGACATCCTCTAAATTCCTCTAAACCCAGCAGGTAAACAAATGTACAATGTCCTATTTTACTACTCTATGGTTGGGGGAGATTTTGTGTAATATTGAGAAAGACGTGCCTCCCGACCAACTAATGTAGCAGGTCAGCTCGCCTCAGTTAATCTCGAAGGATTACGGTCGGAGTTTTCATGATATTTATTAATCTAACAGCATATTCATATTTTGTTTTTTAAGGTAACTGACAGCGTAATCGACCAAATGTGCATATCTCTGTCACATAAAGCCAAAGAATGCATTCAAAACAACACTGCTATTCCACAGTCGTTTGGTAGTATTTACTACCCCGTCATGATAGGGTTCACGCATGCGGGAACGGAACAAGAATGATTTGACACACATTTAAGAATTTCTTCTAAGAATTATACTACAATATCAGGAAGTGGATTTCAGATATATAAACATAATTATTTAGCATACTCAAATTTCAATCCGTAAAGATGCCACAGGATAAAGGTCAAACTTCGCGAATACTCATCCGATTGACCTGTATTTTGTTTAGAAAAATATGAGGTCATAGCTTAATGGGCTGAACGGAATATAACATTAGATTCAGTACATTATAGGATTTTCAATTACACCGAAACGGAAATAGAATAACGAATTTGTTTTACTCGTTAAAATTAATAGTACCATGACTATCGCCATAGAGCAATGAGGAAAAGCAAATACATGTACCTACCCACCATCAGAACCCGACATTGTACTGTGATAAGCTAGTGAATTATTTCGATCTCCAGTAAACGACCTGTTGGTACAGCTACTGTCGCGAGCCTGGGTCGGCATTTCGAGAGATAACCCGTACGGTGATACGCTAGTGAATTATTTAGATCTCCAGTAAATTAGTTGTTGATTGATAGGCTAGTGAATTATTTTGATCTCTAGTAAACGAGCTGTTGGTACAGCTACGGTCGCGGGCCTGGGTCAGCATTACGATAGATTTCCCGTGCTGTGATAGGCTAGTGAATTATTTCGATCCTCTCTAAACGAGCTGTTGGTACAGCTACTGTCGCAAGCCTGGGTCAGCATTACGATAGATTACCCGTACTGTGATAGGCTAGTGAATTATTTCGATCTAGTAAACGAGCTGTTGGTACAGCTACTATCGGGAGCCTGGGTCAGCATTACGATAAATAACCCGTACAGTGATAAGCTAGTAAATTATTTCGATCCTCTGTAAATGAGCTGTTGGTTCAGCTACTGTCGCGAGCCTGGGTCAGCATCACGATAGATTACCCGTACTGTGATAAGCTAGTTAATTATTTCCATCTCCAGTAAACGAGCTGTTGGTACAGCTACTGTCGCCAGCCTGGGTCAGCATTACGATAGATAACCCGTACTGTGATAAGCTAGTGAATTATTTCGATCCTCTGTAAATGAGCTGTTGGTTCAGCTACTGTCGCGAGCCTGGGTCAGCATTTCGATAGACAACCCGTACAGTGATACGCTAGTGAATTATTTAGATCTCCAGTAAATTAGTTGTTGATTGATAGGCTAGTGAATTATTTTGATCTCTAGTAAACGAGCTGTTGGTACAGCTACTATCGGGAGCCTGGGTCAGCATTACGATAAATAACCCGTACAGTGATAAGCTAGTGAATTATTTCGATCCCCAGTAAATGAGCTGTTGGTACAGCTACTATCGCGAGCCTGGGTCAGCATTACGATAGATTCCCCGTACAGTGATAAGTTAGTGAATTATTTCGACCTCTAGTAAATGAGCTGTTGGTACAGCTACTGTCGCGAGCTTGGGTCAGCATTACGATAGATAGCCCGTACTGTGATAAGCTAGTGAATTATTTAGATCTCCAGTAAATTAGTTGTTGATTGATAGGCTAGTGAATTATTTTGATCTCTAGTAAACGAGCTGTTGGTACAGCTACTGTCACAGTGATACGCTAGTGAATTATTTAGATCTCCAGTAAATTAGTTGTTGATTGATAGGCTAGTGAATTATTTTGATCTCTAGTAAACGAGCTGTTGGTACAGCTACGGTCGCGGGCCTGGGTCAGCATTACGATAGATTTCCCGTGCTGTGATAGGCTAGTGAATTATTTCGATCCTCTCTAAACGAGCTGTTGGTACAGCTACTGTCGCCAGCCTGGGTCAGCATTACGATAGATAACCCGTACAGTGATAAGCTAGTGAATTATTTCGATCTCCAGTAAACGAGCTGTTGGTTCAGCTACTGTCGCGAGCCTGGGTCAGCATCACGATAGATTACCCGTACTGTGATAAGCTAGTTAATTATTTCGATCTCCAGTAAACGAGCTGTTGGTTCAGCTACTGTCGCGAGCCTGGGTCAGCATTACGATGGATTACCCGTACAGTGATTAGCTAGTGAATTATTTCAATCTCCAGTAAACGAGCTGTTGGTACAGCTACTGGCGCAGGTCTGGTTCAGCATTACGAGAGATAACCCGTACAGTGATAAGCTAGTGAATTATTTCGATCCCCAGTAAATGAGCTGTTGGTACAGCTACTATCGCGAGCCTGGGTCAGCATTACGATAAATTACCCGTACAGTGATAAGTTAGTGAATACACCGAAACGGAAATAGAATAACGAATTTGTTTTACTCGTTAAAATTAATAGTACCATGACTATCGCCATAGAGCAAGGAGGAAAAGCAAATACATGTACCTACCCACCGTCAGAACCCGACATTGTACTGTGATAAGCTAGTGAATTATTTCGATCCTCTGTAAACGAGCTGTTGGTACAGCTACTGTCGCGAGCCTGGGTCAGCATTTCGATAGATAACCCGTACAGTGATACGCTAGTGAATTATTTAGATCTCCAGTAAATGAGTTGTTGATACAGCTACTGTCGCGGACCGGGGTCAGCATTACGATAGATTACTCGTACTGTGATAGGCTAGTGAATTATTTCGATCCTCTGTAAATGAGCTGTTGGTTCAGCTACTGTCGCGAGCCTGGGTCAGCATTACGCTAGATAACCCGTACTGTGATAAGCTAGTGAATTATTTCGATCCTCTGTAAATGAGCTGTTGGTACAGCTACTGTCGCGAGCCTCGGTCAGCATTACGATAGATTACCCGTACTGTGATAAGCTAGTGAATTATTTCGATCTCCAGTAAATGAGTTGTTGATACAGCTACTGTCGCGGACCGGGGTCACGATAGATTACCCGTGCTGTGATAGGCTAGTGAATTATTTCGATCCTCTGTAAATGAGCTGTTGGTACAGCTACTGTCGCGGGCCTGGGTCAGCATTTCGATAGATAACCCGTACAGTGATAAGCTAGTAAATTATTTCGATCCTCTGTAAATGAGCTGTTGGTACAGCTACTGTCGCGGGCCTAGGTCAGCATTACGATAGATTACCCGTACTGTGATATGCTAGTGAATTATTTCCATCTCCAGTAAACGAGCTGTTGGAACAGCTATTGCCACAGGCCTGGGTCAGCATTACGATAGATAACCCGTACAGTGATACGCTAGTGAATTATTTAGATCTCCAGTAAATGAGTTGTTGCTACAGCTACTGTCGCGGACCGGGGTCAGCATTACGATAGATTACTCGTACTGTGATAGGCTAGTGAATTATTTCGATCCTCTGTAAATGAGCTGTTGGTACAGCTACTGTCGCGGGCCTGGGCCAGCATTACGATAGATTACCCGTACTGTGATAGGCTAGTTAATTATTTCGATCTCCAGTAAACGAGCTGTTGGTACAGATACTGTCGCGGGCCTGGGTCAGCATTACGATAGATTACCCGTGCTGTGATAGGCTAGTGAATTATTTCGATCCTCTGTAAACGAGCTGTTGCTACAGCTACTGTCGCGAGCCTGGGTCAGCATTTCGATAGATAATCCGTACAGTGATACGCTAGTGAATTATTTAGATCTCCAGTAAATGAGTTGTTGCTACAGCTACTGTCGCGGACCGGGGTCAGCATTACGATAGATTACTCGTACTGTGATAGGCTAGTGAATTATTTAGATCTCCAGTAAACGAGCTATTGGTACAGCTACTGTCGCGAGCCTGGGGCAGCCTTACGATAGATTAATATCTCTACAGATCAAACAACTCTCGGACAACTATCACTCAGCTATTATACTATCGATGTTACGCACGTCTTTCCAAGCCAGTCATACATCACGCCTAGAAGCATTACGATAGATTACCCGTACAGTGATAAGCTAGTAAATTATTTCGATCTCTAGTAAACGAGCTGTTGGTACAGCTACTGTCGAGGGCCTGGGTCAGCATTACGATAGATTACCCGTACTGTGATAGGCTAGTTAATTATTTCGATCTCCAGTAAACGAGCTGTTGGTACAGCTACTGTCGCAAGCCTGGGTCAGCATTACGATAGATTACCCGTGCTGTGATAGGCTAGTGAATTATTTCGATCCTCTGTAAACGAGCTGTTGCTACAGCTACTGTCGCGAGCCTGGGTCAGCATTACGCTAGATAACCCGTACTGTGATAAGCTAGTGAATTATTTCGATCTCCAGTAAATGAGCTGTTGGTACAGCTACTGTCGCGGGCCTGGGCCAGCATTACGATAGATTACCCGTACTGTGATAAGCTAGTGAATTATTTCGATCTCCAGTAAACGAGCTATTGGTACAGCTACTGTCGCGAGCCTGGGTCAGCCTTACGATAGATTAATATCTCTACAGATCAAACAACTCTCGGACAACTATCACTCAGCTACTATACTATCGATGTTACGCACGTCTTTCCAAGCCAGTCATACATCACGCCTAGAGTACATGCAGCGTACACGTAATGTTGCCAGCCATTTTGACGTGACTGGTGCGAACTGGTGCACGCTCTGACCACTCTCCCCCTCCTGTCTGTACGGCTAAAGAGCCTGACTTCCGGAGAGTAATGTTTGTCAACCGTCGATGTGCCGACAATAAACATGTCTGTCCGTCATGCCTTTCAAAACCGATTGCCTCCCCAAGTAGGGTCTAAGAGTTTTCCGGGAGAAGCATAACTAAAGACCAATTCACAACATGCTTTATGTAGGGTTTCTGGAAAGTTAACAAGCACGTCGACAAGGACAACAGGTGCAAAATGCCAGATTGTTTCACTTAGAATAGCTTTGGATAGATCATGTTCTCATACGCATGATATCGCTTTCAATATAGCTATAAAATTGGTAATAACATTCAAAAATGAATGTTAAACTGCTACCAGGTAAAACCGATACGTTTGCAAACAATTTGAACCTTTCAAAAAATCATTAGTAAAGCAGTTTATGATTTTTATTCGTATTCGAATGCTTAACTCTGGCAGCGATGGTTAGAACCAGGGTGCTTCTATAAATTGTGTTTCCAACATTTATCAAGATACCATTGTAGCCATCTTAACTCTCTAAGATATGTTTCAATCAGACCACGATGTAACTGATATATATTAAATCATCTGAAAGAACCGGTACTATCGCGCCATTTCTTAAAAACCCTATTTCCTTTCATACCGAACAGGGCATTTAAGGCAGCACTCGCTTCTGTGGTTCTTAATGCAATTGCAGTTGGATATAACAACATCTGAATACCATTGCTACTTACTTCATTCTGAACGCCAAAGCTTCGGTCTGCCACCTCAAACAGAACGAAGTCAAACGCCATCTTTTCGCTAAGGATGTTGAGGAGGTCGATACTAAGTCCGGCACAACACCGGACCACGGTTCCGTTAAACAGCGTGCTGTCATTCTTACCACTGTAACGAAACAGGTACGTACACTTTTCCATACAGAACAGTTAACACAGATGTCATCATTTAATGAAAATGATAATAAATACAGATTGCTAAATCGTATTGATATACATAATTTGTTTGATTTGCTTTGCTTTTGGGTGGTTTCTTTTCATCGATCATAACATGTGTATGCAACGACATACTTTTTGCTTTAGAGATATTCTTATATTTCTTAAGTTCAGTTTTCAGAGAGAAAATAAAATAAAAACTACAAAATGATAAATACATCACAATGGGCCAATAATTCATTATTGAACAGTTTTAAAATTTAGATGACAGATTTATGTTTGGAACATTTAAGTGTACGTGATATACATGAAGTCGTTACAAGTAAAACGTGTTTTGTAGCAAAAACTTTATAGTTTGTTTTGTAACATTATAACAAAGTATTAGAAACAACGATATTTGATGAGAAATCCATTTTGTGTGTAGATATTTACGCACATGTTGTCTGAGGTTTCGCTGATGATAATACATTTGACGACATATGGTCCTGAACTTTTTGAAAACAACTGTGACCTTGGTGCTCGAATATTCCTTTATCCTGTGCGATATCAGTAGCCGAAACCAGTAAACCAGATTCGCGATACCACGAATTTGTTTCCTAATAAAATCCCCGTTTAATTTAGTGATAATCGACTCACTGGATGGTTTCGTTGTAGACGAGGCGACATGGGATAGAAGGTGGGCCACAGTCGCCCGTCGAGTTGTCCGGATCCTTATACATGACGTACGGTTGCTCCTCCAGTGTCGCGATCCTAAAGAAGCGCCTTTCCGGTCGACCTTTGGGCGGAAACGGCATTTTTCCTGGCCACGTAATACCTTGCATCTCTAGCTTCATTTCAATCTTCTTGGTGTATCTGACTTTGGTCACGACTGGGGACCAACGACCGACCTGCAGATAAACATATTTATCAGTCGTATAGACAGATATAAACTGTAGCTGTCAGACAGAGTGTTTCTGTTGTGGTTTAGCGTCCCCACAACAGCCAAGGTTATATGGTGACGAGTGCCTAGGGAGACACTGCCTAATAGAAAGAATATATAGATACCCCGACTGTTTCAATGGGAGCAGAAGATCAAACTTTGACCTTTTCAATTTCCTCTAGAAGGCACAGAAAAAAACCCAAGAAACTTGCAGGTTATCCAACCTTTGTCACCTCATAAAGCATGTAGTTGGACACAGGGTGTCCATTCTTTCCCCGAACCTGCACAGGTTTGATTCAAAGAGGCATATCTAATAGTCATATAGAGGGGCACATAAAACAGCACTACAGACCGACCGGCAGACATGACAGCGATACAGACAGATACGTATAACAGTGATATAATTTTGTTCTAAACAAGTCTACTTTACATGGCAAATAAAACACGCAGCCTCGAGTTCCTTATATAATTATTTAACTGAATTTAAGTTCGGAACGGGCCCGAGGGCGAAACGTTATTTTAATTGTCCATAATTTGCTCAAAACGTGGCTTCAGTTACAAGCTTTGATAAGTATTTCATGAATTATGAACGTCACAACTTAAAACCCCCCTCGATCGATAAATTGACGCAAATGGTGTATCGTGAGTTTCATATTTATCATTCCAAGTGTTCTTATAATAATACTTCCAATCGCAGTTTCCTCCCTAAATCATTAAAGATGCACATCAATATTTTCAAAACTTTAAAATTCCTTATGTTCTTATACATTTTACTCGATCTATTGAATCAGTTCTATTTATAATCGGCATTTGACCTTGTGGCGCGGCTAATTCTACTACCGTTGTTTGTCCCGACCGACTGTTCATCTGATTGTCTCTATGTGCTGACGATGTGTTTAAGTTTCTCTGCAATAAGTAGATTTCGAGGAATGACACGCGAAACCCTCTTCACTAAACTCTGGAACTATTCATGTACGCTAAATTAATTTCGAGCCGCAAAGTACAAATTACAGCCATACAGAATGAAGAGACGATAGAGCATGGAGCTCTAGACAGCATACTAGATCCTATTTTCAAATTATCGCGATTAAAAAGTCTGTCGACTCCACGAACAACAGATTGTGCTTATATTGAAAACGTGATTCGTTTAGGTTTCATTGTTGTCGATCCAGCATTGTACCACGTGATACTGGCCTCCTGCCAGGCTACGTGCTCCGATCCCATTTATGCTGCGTTTCTTTGCTGAATTTTCCGAAGTAGACATATCTAGAGCCAACGCTACCTTACACACGTTCCAATAGTCCTCGTATATATAAATCAAAGTTGCCTGTCAGGTCTTCTAGCAACAGGCAATTACCACACCGCTTGTTAATAGGCCTCCGCGTAATAGAAACCGATTTGCTTCGCATTAGTTTTACAGGGGAAGGCAATTAAGTCAAAGTCTAATCAACTAAAATTAGTCAAGTACATAATATATTAATTTAGCTATGGCCAACATTTAAAGCTCATCAAATTCCTATGTATAAGCCTTACTGTAATGTGTTAACCAATATCGTTTTGATATCATTATTCTAATTATCTAAGATAATGTTGATTCTCAATATAAAGGTCATTTTGATGATTCATACCCTTCAACAATATACCATATCACTAACACGTTTTATTCCGAGATTGGTGGTATAGTGAATGGTTACTACCACTATTACGCTTGTTTTAACATCATTGGTTAATTACCCAGTACGACTATACTAGAGTCAGACCTATTATTCTCGTACCTCAGACAGAGATATCCCACGTCATACCCCATGCTAGATTTTTCTATCTCGTCCGTCCTGTCTTGTACCTTTACGTGACATTTCGCGGAATTTTTTCACTGCGATGTATTCATCTACGCGTTAACTGCTTGAAACTGACAATTTGCATTATAAATGTTCTGTTTTGTCGTTTTATGTATGGTTTTGAAGTTGTTAGATATTTGATGTTATAGTTAAAATATAATCTACACTGTGAAATATGTTGTAATCTTTGTAAGGACGGACTACATTTTTTTTCGCGGGAACATTTAAATGTAGCTTTAGTAATGAAGAGGTCATTATCATTTGAGGCCCAAGGCGGGATACTTGAGCAAAATTGAATAGTTCTTTTCGAACTAACAGGTGCGAGAGAAAAAAAATCAATTACCTGTAACTGAGCGAGATCGGGTTATCTCAGTATCGGGCTAAGATTCCGTAACATCCCAATTTTGTTACAGAGTATTAACCCTCAACTGAGATAACCCGATCTCGCTGATCAGTTACAGGTAAAATATGTTGTTAATGTTGTGACGTGTATTCACTACCCTTTATTCCGCTTCATTAACACATTGGTGGTGTTCCGTATATATTTCCTATCACTACCACGCTTAATTCAATCTCTGACGTTGTGATGTAATATTCTCTATCACTGCTCTGCTTGATTCAAACACTGACGCTGTGATGTAATATTCCCTATCACTACCACGCTTTGTTCAAACACTGATGCTGTGATGTAATATTCCCCATCACTACCACGTTTGGTTCAAACACTGACGATGTGATGTACTATTATTCCCTATCCATACAGTATCACGATAGATTCCTCTCACTACTGGGCACAAGCTTTGTGAGTTTGCCATTGCAAAATTATTTTCAATGAAAGGCAAAGTTTTGCACACAGGAGAACTCATTTTGAATTTCTGTACGAATTTTGCGTCGCCAAAAGACAGTAAATCATTACACAGAGGGCAGAATTCGGAACTATCAACTTTTTTTCAATATTAGAAAAAGTTTAATGCATTGAATCCCGAAGATTTGCATCTGACACGATCGGTCCCATAGATCAAAATGGCGTTTTAAATGACGGAAATTTTAAGTGTAGTTGTAATTGATTAAAAGGTGGTCACTTCACAAGGTATCGGGAAGAGAGATCAAGTTTTAAAGACCGGTGGTAAAAGTTTTGTCGGCAGGAGGTTATGTTTCAGAATTTCTAAATTGCGTTGCCGCTGAATATGTATACTACTTCATGGAGATTTATTATCTTATGAACTAGACCCATGTATCCAAAGTTTTCCATCCAGTTTATATATAAACAATTTCGTTCCTAGATGAAAACTTTTGTGGGCGATGTACAATCTCTATAACTACAGCGCTTGATTCATAAATTGACGGGGTGATGTATAATCCCAATCACTGCTGTGCTTGATTCAATCTCGGGGGTTAGTCTAATCAGCTCTCCAACACAGTCATAAAGAATGACGCTGGATAACTGCTATTTTAACCAATCAACTTTCTGTCAAGGATGTTATATAAAGGTACCATAATACGACAAGTTATGACTTTCGAGACGTTTGGAAATTATTTGAAATCAGTTCAATATTCCACCAAATGCACACCAAGTCATGTCATCCCATCCTATTGATTAAGCAAGGCAATTAACTTTGTTGAAACGAAAAAAAAATCGTTTAAACATGCATTTTAAAAATAGCTTACATATATAAAGCTGTCGCCCTGACGGTCCGATATGTCTAGGGCTTGTGACATACATTACGCTGTTTGTCTGATCTGCTGTGAGGATAAGAATGTCAGCCAGCTTTTGAATCGCAGTTATTACTGTTCAATGACGTCAACGTTCTTTATAACGTGATATGAACAAGTAATGGACGGCAGCTGATGCTAAGTCATGTTAACTTCTTATAGGCATATCACCATAAAAAACACTTCACAGGGCATGAACACAAAAAAAATAAACTATTCAAATACAAAGAGTAAAATAAAGACGCAATATAAACATGTTGACCTTGTCAAGAGACATCTACAAAGTAACCTTAAAAGTAGTGGTAATAGTGACACAGAAGTTAACACGGAAACAAGAAGGGCAGAAAATCAAGAATGATTACACTAACAAGGTAAGACCAAATAAAGATCCAGAGTGTTATTATAACGGGGGCAGCAGACCGCGTTTGGTCTCGTCAATTGCGCCCACTAGCTTGTAGGAGAAAACCAGAGCCTTAAGAAGGGTCCAAACTAGTCTACTCTAACGACCATGCAAAGGAGAACAGTAGACACGTACCAACATTGGTAAGTTAAGTAGCTCATGGACTACCGGTGTCCATACACATTGAAGTGACTAAAACGATGATTTAGTGTATCATGATCTCCAATTTATTCTCGTAAATATCTAACAACAATATTGTAACAACATTTCTTCCTACTAACATAACTAGGACCCACACGGTTTGTTTTCCATGCATAGAAATTACAGAGTATTTACATCATGAAGAATTGTTAAAAATGATAATGTTTGTAAGGAATCACTAACGTCCAAGTACAGTATTAAGATCCTTGAGAGGAAACATTGAGATCGAGGATGTTAACACTCTAGCCGGACTATCGCTCTCCCAGTCTGGGACATTTCCTCCCAGATACAACATGGATGTAATATTTCAACGACTTTCAGTTTTCTTTTCTCAGCCGAATTAGGACGACAAATCCATTCCGTAACTTTTGTCTGCTAGTATTTTTAAAGGGCATATTCAATTACAAGAAACTTCAATAATGTGATTACTTTAGAAATATTTGAAACAGAAAAATGTCAAGCAGACTCAGTGAACAAAAATTGGATTTGTTCAAAAAATGAAAACCATTCGAAAAAACAAGCGATATTGTCGATTCACGCAAGTATACGGTGCTCAAACTTTGGTATGAAATTCATGTCTTCGCTGTTGTCCGCATATTCAAATCTAAAAATAATATTGCAATTGTATTGTACCGCTTGATGCTTTCTAGCCCAACGTGAAATGTCTGGGAAAATGATAACAGCGAAAAGACGGAGATCCGCGAAATACGGACAGAACCATTTCCGCGTGATCAAATTGTCATATTTATTATTCAAACATGTTTTATAGAGGCTCTGATCAAGTATAAAACATGCTTCGCTTAGACCTAAGCATTGGGACGGAATCTAGGGATAATACACAAAGGCATTCAATATTCAATATGAAACTGAATGCCAGTTAGCCGGGCTGGTTTTGATATTTGAAAAGAGCAACTTTCTAAATAAACACAATTCGACAATGAACCACTTTTAACGCGCGCCGAGAAATGTTCAAATTTTCAAATAATTCAGAACCGGCCTTTTTTTTTTGATTGATCAAGCCTAGAGTATGCCAAACCAACCGACAGTGCTGTAGGCCTTACAACCCAGTTATCAGGCGTTTTCACCACGGGACTAGGTACTCTAACACACCTCTATCCCGTTCAATGAAAACAAAATAAATGATTATGGATTTCATAATATCAGCCTCTTTAATTTGATTTTGGAGTTTCAGGCTACATTGACAATATTATATATAGAAACCCTAAAATTGGTATCGAAGATCATGTAACACCACAAAAGTGCTGCGAAGTGGCTGTTGCTAGCTTATATTCACCAACCAAAGTAACTTTTTTTATCTAGGTGTTAGCCCAACATGGTTCCTTGGAAATAATTATGCGGGCATCGTTTATGACGCCGAATGGCGCTGTTCATTGAGTGCTTGCGTCATATATCAATTGATTGTAATTCACTGGAGAAATATGCACATATTTTGTAGTGTAAGAATTGTCAATATTTAACTACACCGACAGTACTAGTAGAACGACGCAATCCTTTGGCTGATAAATCACTTGTCACGTTTAAAAAAAAAGGAATTCTTATCTCGAAATTTAGGCAAGCTTTTCTGTCTTACCTCCGTCAGCCGCCCTCGAGGGCGCCCCCTGTACATGACTTCCTGTACGTTAAGGATCTGTAAGTGGACGTATTTGTTGAGACCGACGTCATTGAACTCTATCGGGTACTCGGAGTCCGATCCTGCTGCATCCCCGCCCAGCATCTGACTGGAAGGAAATTCAAATTACAGTACAATTAAATATGTGTATGATATTCTGAACTGATGGGAAAAAATAATACGATAGAAAGGTATGCTATTTTGTCAAATACGATTGACTCGGGTATTTCAGTTCACAGTAATTGACAGTCTTTCACAAATATGTGCTTTAAGTATTAAGAAGAGGAGGTAAACCACTGAACTTATCCCATTTTTGTGCTAGTTTACGGTGCTAACGTTAGGTAATCTTATTCAGTAAGAACTTTAGTATTAAAATCTTGATGGAAATGCGTAAACTATCAATGACATAACCAATTTCATTATTTTGTTATGTTCTTTTGATAATATTCATCTAAACCGAATTCCGCTCGTTTGCCGTTGTATGCCGCTTTCATTAGAACTCACTGACCATGGATACGTGCTACCCTGTCACGTGACTTCCGAATAATACTCACTTGTATAATTCCTCTCCTACATCCCACGTGGTGGAGCTGTTGGAGTTGTTACAGGAAACTCCCGGATGTAGCTGGTCCATGCTGTAACCCAAGCTGCTCATCTTCTGCATGGCGTCCATCCAAGCCTCGATAGCATTCTTCGTTACGTTGGCCACCAGGGCAGACTCTAGGTCTGAGCCGTACTCACCCCTATACGTGATACCTGGGGACATCAAGTTTCACGTTACTGTCACTGCAATGGTCGTTTCACAATCTACAGTCTTTTATTTTGACATTGACACAGAATATTTTTGTTGTACTATTGACTAAAACACTTAAAATGATAACCGCTATGGCGTGTAAAAACTTTACTAGATTGAATTCGACGATATATTCCGTTGTCAATGAAACTTTGTATTGAGCCTGTCATGCTTCACAGAAAACGCAAATCACTGTTTGGTGAATTAAGTCATTGAAAGGGTATATCTAGTTACATAACTATACTCCTTACTTTGGCTAAGTGTGTCCTTACTGTGGCTAAGTGTGTCCTTACTTTGGCTAAGTGTGTCCTTACTTTGGTTAAGTGTGTCCTTACTTTGGTTAAGTGTGTCCTTACTTTGGTTAAGTGTGTCCTTACTTTGGCTAAGTGTGTCCTTACTTTGGCTAAGTGTGTCCTTACTTTGGCTAAGTGTGTCCTTACTTTGGTTAAGTGTGTCCTTACTTTGGTTAAGTGTGTCCTTACTTTGGTTAAGTGTGTCCTTACTTTGGCTAAGTGTGTCCTTACTTTGGCTAAGTGTGTCCTTACTTTGGCTAAGTGTGTCCTTACTTTGGTTAAGTGTGTCCTTACTTTGGTTAAGTGTGTCCTTACTTTGGTTAAGTGTGTCCTTACTTTGGCTAAGTGTGTCCTTACTTTGGCTAAGTGTGTCCTTACTTTGGCTAAGTGTGTCCTTACTTTGGTTAAGTGTGTCCTTACTTTGGCTAAGTGTGTCCTTACTTTGGTTAAGTGTGTCCTTACTTTGGCTAAGTGTGTCCTTACTTTGGTTAAGTGTGTCCTTACTTTGGCTAAGTGTGTCCTTACTTTGGTTAAGTGTGTCCTTACTTTGGCTAAGTGTGTCCTTACTTTGGTTAAGTGTGTCCTTACTTTGGCTAAGTGTGTCCTTACTGTGGCTAAGTGTGTCCTTACTGTGGCTAAGTGTGTCCTTACTTTGGTTAAGTATGTCATAAACTTTGCTGAAGTCATATTCAACACTTGGAAATGGAAGAATTATATACACGGTAACATTGCCATCAATTTCCAAGGGAAACAGAAAAGCTGATCTTCCTAACATACGGAATTATATTTTAATGAAACTGTTCATCAAATTATAAGACAGCTTTTTCAAATATTATGCCAGAAAACAGAACACTGAAATCCTTGATCCAAGCAAACGCCCTTCCGATAATCAGGAACGACAAACAAAAAACGACACAGGGATCTTTCGAAGAAAAAAGTTACAAATAATACAATAAACTAAAATCAAATCAGCATCACGTCTTTGTTAGATCCTGTCTGCAGACACTCGTTCCGTTTCAGTCAGAGCACCTATTTTTACAAAGGGTCAGTAAGTCATTGAAAACGTTCAGAGTACAGCTATTAAGCTAGTCCCCAGTCTGAAGGACACGTCCTACATTGAGTGATTACAATCACTGAATATGACAAGTAGACTGAGGTCTACAAAAGCCTTCATGGTATAAACTAAGCAAAAAAATGTCTTCCGCCTAAGATCAACAAGATTAATAATAGAGGCTCTAAATGCTAGGTGTAGGACACATATGAGACGTATCCTAATATCTCATTCCTATTCTTCTTTAGACGAGACTTAACAAACTCGGGCCTTATTACGTAGTTAAGATAACATTATAAGCGGTTGGCGTCGAACTGGAGGCTATTTTAATAGCTCTTCCCATTTACTCTCACACTTCTAAACGCAACAGGAAGTGAGTATATATATCAGGATGCGCCTTATACGGAAGAAATAAACGTTTATAATGGCGTCGATAACAATAAACCAAAGAACCAATATGATCGCTTGTTATGTCTTCAATAATGTTCAAAATCTCATAATGTCTCTAAACCTACCATACATTAGAAGCTCTTGCAATGCAGTTGTTATTGGATTAATTCATACCATATACGTTTGTTTGTTTAAGGAGTTACTTCCTCGTAACAGCTAACGTTATAGGGAGTCAGTGGTACTGAAGCCTATTGTTTATCGACCACAGAGCGCAGTGAACATACTTAGAATCAAACGTGCCTCAAAATTCCCACATTCGCCTCCCGTTCCAATCACACCCCTGTGTAAAAAGTCATCCCTTCCCATCTTCCCGTTCGCCAATTCTCCCCCTTTTACCCCCTCCTCTCTCTTAAATTTCCCCATCACATGTCAGCCTCGCCCAGGTGATAATCTCGGTAAAATAAAACAGTTCCTACATGTATATCATTAATGACTAAAACCGTCTCCGTAGAGAGCAGTATTCTTCTTCCTGTATTGTATAGGGTTGTGGGACTGTCACATTTAGATTAAAGCTGGTAATAAAAAACCACAAAGGTAACTTTGGTGTTATCTCAGACGCTATGAGACGGCCCGAAGTCGTATTTAAATTAAACCCTATTGTCCAACTGTTATCTAGTGAATCCATTACAAAAACGAATTGACAGAAACGTTGTATATTGATGTGAAATGTGGCGCATTGCTTCGACCGTTCCTGTAAGTCCTAAACTAGCCTTACATGTTGATAAACTACAGCAACAGATTGCAGGTCATATGATGCATGTAAATGTATATTGTCTATTCTATAGTACGATTACGAGTTGGCAGTGTATATACAATTGGTATTGAGAACGCGTGGAGAGAGTTCTTAGGAAGCTAAGGGGCCGACGAGTGTGATATCGTCTCCGCTATGTTGAATTTTTGCTCCATATAAAATCGGGAGTGAAGACTTGTGCATGTTTGGTTACATGAGGCTATTTCCTCTAAGTAGTATGCCAACATTTATATATAGGTGGGTATTCCCCTGACTACGGGTAGTCCACATATACTTGAAAACATTCAGTTTGATTAAAATACCGCAATCCGCGCTTGATACAGTCTTTGATAAGGCGAATGTCATTAAAGCTTTCACTGATGGTCTGAAGCCCTCGCAACCTCTTATAAACCATTTGATTTTCTATCATGCGCCTGTCCACTGACCCTTACTGGCAGTCTGATATATAATTATGCCATACAAATGGTTCTAGCAGTTTGACTTTCTAGCATGCCCCACTGTTGGGCTATTGTTCCAGTGTAGCTCTATACGCCCAAACCGGCAATCTGTCTTCACTAGCAGTTCAAAACCCTATAGCATGTCCCCATTTACAGTCTGACCTCCTAACATGTCCCACACTGACACAGGGACAACATATCACACCCGAGCTGAAGGTCTGACGTCCTATTATACCCAACTGGAGGTTTGAAGTTCTACAACGCTCACACTGGCAGACTGACGTCATAGAACATTCCAAATGGAGGTCTGACCCTATGGAGGTCTGAGGTCCTAGCATACTCTCAATGGCAATATAGATTGGAGAATGGAGAAGGGACGGCTCTAAACCGTATATGTCTTGTATTCGGTTGGAAAATACAGGGAAGAACAAGTTCTTACCGAATACACCGAGTGGTAGTTTGGTGGTACGGGATGGGCTGCCTATACTGGATGACGTCAGTATCCACAGGTAATCCGGTCCCGCAAGGCCTAGGTCCTGGGCCGCGTCCATAAAACTGTAGGTGTGCAACCGACTGACCAACAAAGAATAGACCACACTATTAAATGTCATAACATAAAAGATAATGTTTCTTACTGATATAACCCTTGTAATGTCTTAATCATATTAATAATACTTTGCACCCATTGACCATATTTATTTGTTTTTTAACAGGGGCTCAACATATAAGGAAATATCGAAAAATGACCAATATCTAAGACATATCATTTTCAGTTTTGCATTTCAAAAATGTATTTGCTGTTACCCAGTGTGTAGAAGGTAAACTCTCGAGTCTTTGTGATTATTTTCCTTTAGAAAATCCCTTGTCTCTTCATCCACGTGATCTATGTCGTAACTTCCGCTGTACACCAGTGTCGTCACCAGAGTTAACCTACGAGCCAAAAGTGGAACTGTACACAAGCAATGTCGCAACAGGCAATCTTTTGCACTTTCGGCAAATCATCATGATTGCAAATATCATGACAGCGTGTTAAGTGCTCACCTTCATTTATATATAGGCAGAAATTAAAACGGGGCATATCATTGTTTTGGGCCGAAATTTATCAATTTATATTGTTTACTTACATTCGAGGAAAACCCGTATACAAACTTACAAACGGAATACCAATTAGACAATACACAATACACCGGAATCGATGTACATCCTGATTATTGTACTTAAACCGTTATCAGTAAATACACTACATTGAGTAATTTTGATTTGGTTGATATTACCACGCAGACATATGTTATGCTAGAAGTTTATAATAACGGTCAACAAGGATAACTCAACTTTAACAAAAATGTCACAACGTACCTGGGTTTTCTTGGGTATCCTAAGTAATCATTATTCTGTTTCACCAATGACGTCACGGCATTGATAAAGTCAAAGCTGTTGACCTCTGATGACGTCACGATGGTGAAATGTGTCCAGTTGTATCGGTAGAGTAGCTCTATGATGACCTGAGCCTCGTGGTATAAAGTGGGGGACAGTTGAAGGGTGCGTGACTTTACCTGGTTCTGTAAGACACACATGGGTAAAAGACTATTAGTAGATTATTATCAATGGTTTAAAAGGCATTTTTGTTCAATTTCATACCGGCATTAATATTGACCTTAATATAGATATTCCCTTCTACTTTCGATATTGAAGTGTCTGTGTCGTCAGCGCAAACACGATTCCTGCAACAGCCTAAGATCGAGTTGCGTTCATAGCTCTATGAACACAAATTATCCTGGTAATGCTTATAGAGTAACTTGCAGTGGAAATGTAAACATATAAGAAAGACGATATGGGTACCTATAGATAAGTATATAGTCGAGGGTAGGCACACATTTCAACTTTGTTTGCATGCAACACAGTTCCATTTAAACATATTCCATGATGCACGGTAACGTTTCTTGCATAATATTTTTAAATGCAAATTTGTTGCATACCAAAATAAATGGCACAATACAAAATGCACTTCAATCCGTTCATTACGTTTAAAACAACAAACATCTACATGTAATCAGTTTTCGTCTTCCTGTGTGAAGTCGGTTGGTTCAAGTTACAATTTAATCAAAATACAAACAATGTTCCGAAATTGTTTCCCAAAGGTTGGAACAGACACTTTTGCAGGAACCACGTTGCGTTTCTATGGTTGCCAGTTCCGACGGGCGACAAACGTTGATTGAAAATCATTCAGGACAGCCCGTCATCATTTCCGAACGTCCGGATTAGACTAACACCAATGGGTCCGTATTAATGAAACCGTTCTCATGCTCAAGCATAAACTAAGTGCTCAAACTGACTTTCTTGGATCTGGCATGAATCATGTGACAATGTCAAAAAGTCATGTGTATACTCTTAAACAGTATTATGCGATAAATCTATTTTCAAAGTTCTTCTTAATATTTGAAAAAAAGTGGTTTTCTTTATTAGTTTTTCTTTATTAATTTGTATCACCGGAACAAGAAATTAAACTTGAGCACAGAATCTGAGTTCGGGCATGAGAACACTGTCATGAAATACTGCCCCAAAATTGATTCCCAACGGAAATAAATGATTTTTTCCCCCGATTGGAAAACATTCATGTGTAATGATAGGTCTTGTTGCTATTGGATTATAACAATGTGTTCAGTTGGTCGGTCTATATGATAGCTGTCATACAGCAATGCAAATATGATCTAATGATAACGAAATAACAATCTTTGAATGGAAAAAATGATGATTGACATGCAATCTAACATGTAACAATACCAAAAATCTGCGAAACGCGATATCGGCTGTAAATAAGTATTCACATGTAGGCGAAATAATAGTGACGATAAAGGCTATTATAAAGGACTTAAATGTAGGCGAAATGATAGTGACTATAAAGGCTATTAGAAAGGACTCACGTGTAGGCGAAATAATAGTGACGATAAAGGCTATTAGAAAGGACTTACATGTAGGCGAAATATAAGTGACGATAAAAGCTATTTATACGCTTAACGAAGCGGTGAACGCACATTTTTCGCGCATGTGATATTTTTCATTGTTACACCTCAAGTGATTTGATTGGTTGGGAGAAAATTAAACAAAAATCTCTGTCACCCTCTGAAAATGCATTGGTTTTAAGGGGCGCGGGTGATATTGCTATGAGACAGTGAAAAATATCACATACGCGAAAAATGTGCGTTCACCGCTTCGTTTCCCAACCGTGATGGTCACAAGAACGTTTGACGGCAACAGCCAAGTTTATCAAGTGCCGGTGCGATAGCGATTGTAAACAGCAGACTATCAACAAACAAGATGTCATGATCGAGGTTTGCTGCCGTTTCTGAACTGCAAAGACTTTTGGTGTAACAAAATAGATATGACATTCATTAGCAGGTGATAGTGAATATTGTCAACCCTATAAAACCCATTGTCACCCGAGGCGAATTTTCTCGGGTTGAAAATATTCACTGTCACCTGCTAATGAATGTCATATTTATATACTGTCTCATGGCAATATCACCCGCGCCCCTTAAAACCAATGTATTTTCGGAGGGTGACAGAGATTTTTGTTTAATTTTCTCCCATCCAATCAAATAGCTAGAAATTCACTTGAGTTGTAACAATATATGATGTCCTATTATGGCGATATAAGTTATCTTTATATGACGATGTAAGATTTTGTTTCTTTCCTGATAATTTGGGTCGCAACTGATCAGAAGGCCTAGTTACATCACGAAGGATACTTATTGTTTTAATGCAAAACAATATCAGTTATTTATTGAGGAGTTGCCTATTGGGCAATTCATGTAACTCTGCTTATATAGTAAGATTTAGGCTGCCTGGTTATAGTAACACGGTTACTATGGTAGCTTATTTAATGTGTATTGCACCAAAGCTTATCAATCGTATTGTTAGGTGGTGAGGCTTATCCATGATATAGTTAATAAATGAGTCCCCTATCTCTATTTACCTGTATTGGTATAATAGTAGATTTTTATAGTAGTTGAATTTATCAAATGTTACGATGCCAATTTCAGTTATGCACAACTACATGTACTTGACGCCAGGATGCCATTTTCTAGAATTCTAATAGTATTTTAAGTAAATGTACAGTTTGATACGATCGATATCGAATAAATGGTGCTCTCTCACTGACTCCATAAACGAAACGAACATTGAACTTCTTAGCGCAGTCGTCTATTGGACGCTAATTCGTATCGTCCGCTGATAAGAAGATTGGTCGTTTGGTATGAGCAGCTGACCAATCAGCGTAGTCGTCTATTGGACGCTAATTCGTATCGTCCGCTGATAAGACGATTGGTCGTTTTTTTATGAACAGCCGACCAATCAGCGTAGTCGTCTCATCGGCGGACAATGCAAAACTAGCATATCAAGAAAACGTGGCGGTTTTGATACATGAAAATTCATGAACCGCGATATTGACCTAAAACTCGTATCACAGACAGGTCATAACAAAGAAATCCAATAAGGCATGTGGGCATGTGGTTTTATATTAGACAACAAAATAGTCGTATATCATGTAAAATTAAGTTTTGTACATGGGGTAAAATTAGCGCTGAAAAGACGATTAGGAATAGTCTCCATGCCAGTGTATAAGTCTGTTTAGCCCAATCTGCATACAAATTTGAATTCGTGAGGGCCCAGCTCGCCGAATAGGCCTTCTTGGACACTTTCGTAGTTCGAAAACTCATCGGAATAGTTAAGCATTTCTTTTTATCATTTAGTACGATTTACAACACATCAGAGAAAAAAGAGAACAGAGAAAACAGAAAAGAAAAACAATACTAGTGCAGACGGGGATTTTTTTCGGGAGAATTATTAACATCGTTGCCTAATACTATTACTTATTTACGGAACGCTTGGTGGTCATCTCTACCATGCCATTGTGTTCCACAGGTTTCATTCCTCACAGTTCCTGGACCTACTAATTTGAATTATGTCCACATTTGCTATAGGTTTCATCACTTCCATGCCTAATACAGATTGCCTCACGCATAAACTCTCTATATGTTTCATAACTCCAATACCCTAGTTTGGAAAATTTCTTTGTGTGAAATAATTGTATGTGTATGTGTCTTCTGACACCAGGCTACACATTTCAGTTGTACGGCGTTAAAACAAACCGGGAAACATTTGTCTTCTCGCGAGATTCGTCACGTGTACGGCACAGACTCTGATCAGGATGAGCTTTTCAGATTAATGGTGGATATTTCTGACATATAACATAAGCACACGTTTAAATAGGTCGTAGGGTGCACATGAATTTTTAACATGCAGAAGATCAGAAGACACATTTTATTCAGTATATAAGGACGATCTTGGCAGGAATGAGTAAAAGGGTGTTAACGAAAACAGTGAACATACGATCTGGTGAACTAAAGGTGATAATTTACATGGTCTGGAACACGACGGTGACAATGAACACAGAAAGGCGTAAAAGGGTGTTAGTGGATACTGTCATATGCTCAGGGGTCATAGTCGACAGTTATCATATGGCACATTTGTCAATTTTATGTGGCCTGATTTCACAGTTTTTATTTAAGTGTTATAGGACAATATATCTCACTGGTCAAATGACAATAATTGATTTAAATTGTAATAAACAATTTCTCGTTGAATGAGGATAAAAGTTCCAAAATAAAATACCCTTATCTGAAATGAACTTCTTACCTAACATTTTCAATACGTTGTGATTGCGTGAAAACTGCCGTACAGAAAAGTGTGTAAACGTGAGGCGGACCAGTCAATCTTTCATCACACCCAATGTCATTGTAATACAGTAAACTCGCGGCAATATATCTTGATTTGATTTGGCAAAAACAAGCAATGATTAACATCAGATATTCCCGGTGTCAATGAGCAAGCTAGACTAACGCGGAATGATTCGTTTCTACTGACACCAGGCTACAAATTTCAGTTGTACGGCGTTAAAACAAAACGGGAAACATTTGTCTTCTCGCGAGATTCGTCACGTGTACGGCACAGACTGTGATCAGGATGAGCTTTTCAGATTAATGGTGAACATTTCTGACATATTACATACACACACGTTTAAATAGGTCGTAGGGTGCACATGTATTTTGAACATAGGGGCGACCTTGGCAGGAATGAGTAAAAGGGTGTTAACGAAAACAGTGAATGGTCTGGAACACGACGGTGACAATGAACACAGAAAGGCGTAAAAGGGTGTAAGTGGATACTGTCATATGCTCAGGGGTCATAGTCGACAGTCATCATCTGGCACATTTGTCCATCGGAATTGGAGCTATAAACCGAGTGAGAAACCCGATGAAATAACTAAGGCCGCAGGGCTGAAAACATGTTTTAATCCGAAATAACAAAACGATAAGCGTATTATTATCTTCATGTTTCCCCCTCATAAGAAATTCGACGGTTTAATACACCCTGCGTTTGTCGATACGTATTCACATTTATGTTTCGCAATACAACAAACGTCTGTCAACAAGTAGCAATCTTTGTTGTTGTTAGGTCTAACGTCTGCTTCATTAATAACAAACGTATATCGATTACTCAA